AAATTGAGTTACATATTCTTTGGCTGGTCTATTACCTTTGAAAATTCTGTTCCATTGATCTAATATTTTGTAGTATAATTTACAGGTAAGTATTTCTCCCGTAATTTAGCTTTACTCTCTTCTCAATTTCCAATCAATTCTTGTCTCCTTAATTCTAATAATCAAGTAATATTTCTCCAATATGTGGCCTCCCGGTCTAAATCAATTTTTGGGTCTTTCCCCCCCTCAAACATAGGTACATCTATCCGGACATTCCTATGTGATGAGTCAGCATCTACAGTTTCCTAGGGGTTTCTATTCCACCTAGGATTGTCTTGCTGCAGTGGTGGAAATCTGGGATTTTCTTGAGTTGATAATCTTCTTAATCTTTGGTTCATCATATTCATTTGTTCCATGAGTAATTTTGCCTGTTGCAGAATTTCCTCCTCCATTTGAGGTATATGATGATTTTCTTCTATGGTGTAGGATGTATCAGAATGGGTAGACATGCAATTGACTCGAGTGATGGTATGCAGTTGGGAGATCTAAATCGTGATTATGAGGCCTGATGGGTATCCTAACCTGGCCCTAATATCAAAATTGATGCAGAAGTTTTTGAAAAGAATGTGAAGACTATAAAATCAAGCAGATTCACTCAAGAATTAAAGCGAATGTGAGTGGACTTCAAAATTATCTAGAAACACCTGAAATTGAATAAAAAAAAGGATCTGATAGTTTAGGAAAACTGCTGAAAGTACACCCAGATTTATCATGTCAGAAAATTTTCTTATCATGGTTTAAGATCGCCTGAATATCAATAACTAAATATCCTATGGTCTCTCAAGCAACAAAGAGCAAGAGAACATATTAAATGCGCAAATTTAAATGGAGAAAGGAATAAAGTTCACTATCATTGTGGAAAGGTCGCCATTCCATCAGAGATGGTGCAGAGTAAACTGCAGGTTCCTTGGCAAAGATAGACATCAATTGGATTGTTGTAAGTGTTGACTTGTCTGGCATCAAAGAAGAGCGGTGTTGTGAATGTAGGTTGATGGGTATCGACAAAAGATGAATGGGAAAAGAGAAAGGCTCCATACCAGGAGTAATAGGGTCTTGTCGACCAACCCGACGTGGGGTGATGAGATCAAAAGATCAATGATGAATCACTTATCAAAAACTTTCTTGAAAAAAAAATACTGTCCTTTGCGTTTATGGTTCCGTTGCGAATGTTGAGCGCTCTGGAGCTGTTCTTCAGTTATTGTAGTTGATTTTTCTACTGTCATCCTCATTGAATTGTTCTGTTAGAGATTGGTTATGCTGAAGCTATTCCTTTTGACCCGACTGAGAATGACTTGATATTGCATCACCTAACCTATATAATCTCTTCTTCAACAGTAGCATTAGCCTCGTTCGCTAAGTATAACATAATTGTACTTACTTCGTTCAAGTCTAATTGATCCCATTTATCATGACTTAATTTTTTCACTCTTCATTTCTACAAACAACATTTCGAAGTACTTGTTGTACAAGAATTATCTTTACTCTCTTCTCTAAGAAAACAATACTTGTTGGTATGCAGTTGTCAAATGTTGGTATCGACAACATTTCGAAGTACTTGTTGTCAAAAATATGAAAGACAGGATAATAGAGGTGAAAAAGTTGTACACAAACATAAAAATACAACGAAATGATACAATAAGAACTAAATAATCCTTGTATGCACACAATACTCCTGATCCGGCTCTTTATAAGATTTATGTTTCAGGGTCTAAATTTTATGTTATTGGACTCCGTTTTGACCCACAATGATTACATAGGTTTGAGTGCTTGCCAATGATTACATGCAAAGACCTAAATGAAAATCTGAAAGTGCCCCAACAACTAATGTGGTGTGTGTTTTATTCTTTCTTATCGTTCGAATATATTTATATGACGAAGAAATCTGAATCGCAAGTTATTTCATGAATTGAGCAAGGAGAGAGAAAATCATCCATCCGATGATCTCTATCTTAGCCTTGCAAAGGTGCAAAAGCTTGTATGGTCAACAACACAAAGAAGTGGCATCAATTGAAGTAGAACTATGCTGCAGCACAATACACAACTTGATCTTAATGCTTAGTGGCTTTTCTATGTGCGTCATCCACTAATCCCATTAGGACGGTATCAGCTTCACATAGGTGCCAAAAAATAGAAAAATGAACGTTTCCTGAATCATTTTCTCGAACAAAAGAGGACCCAATTGAAGCTGTAAGGCACTTCGGGCATGCTACTATTACAGGTCAATGTGTGGGTACTTCAGTATCCAAGTATACGTTTTTGCTCAAAAGCAATTGACTTTCATCGACTTTTATTTTGGATTATACGTCCATATTTTATTCAACCTGCCAACACCTCTGTGGAAACTATGCTGCGGTTAACAAGGCGGAGCACCTTAAAAGGGCGCAGCTGGACGTCGATTGACGGGTTCCGAAATCCGACAGACCCAATGATTGACTGATGGGAGCGCTATTCGGCCTTTCGGTGATTGACTGCAGAGACTTCTCGGTGGAGGGCTTGTCGCGAGATTATTCGAGACCTTCGCGAGATTTCGGGGAAGAATCTCCTCAACGTTCATTCATCGCCTGTGCTGACTGCGATTAAGAATATTTATTTCACATAAAGACAAGTTTCTAGAAAAGCCGGGGTTGGTGTATACGCGGTTCTACAGAACTCTATAGATAGAACATCGCTGCCGTCGGGTTCACTCCCTTCAGACGAAGGACCTAAGAGCAGCCTTCGTCTAGTGAAGAGATGTCGCTGATCCCAGCTTTCTTCGGTAGGCTCAGCACCAACCTCTTCGATCCATTCTCTCTTGATGTTTGGGATCCTTTCCAGGGATTCCCCTTCTGCAACAACGACAACAACTCCCTCACCCCTCTGCGCCGCGGGTGGGACTCCGAGACCTCCGCTTTCGCCGGCACCCGCGTCGACTGGAAGGAGACTCCTGAGGCTTACGACTTCACTGTCGACCTCCAGGGGGTGAAGGAGGAGATGAAGGTGGAGGTGGAGGTGGAGGTGGAAGTGGAGGAGGGCCGCATCCTCCAGATCAGCGAGCAGAGGAGCAAGGACAAGGAGGAGAAGAGCGACAGGTGGCACCGGCTGGAGAGGAGCATCGGCGGGTTCCTGAGGCGGTTCCGGCTCCCGGTGAACCCCAAGGCGGATCTGGTGCAGGCGTCCATGGAGAACGGGGTGATGACCATGACCAACCCCAAGGAGGAAGTGAAGAAGCTGGAGGTCAAGGCCATCGAGATCTCCGGCTGAGTTCAGAGCTCCATTCCACGGCTTCAGCGTGATAACGCTCTCCATAAAGAGCGTTTCATCAACTGTTGCTATTTCTTTAACGGCAGCAGCTTTTCATCCAATGGACAGTTTTTATTTGTAATGGCCGTACGTGACAATACCTTTAAAAACTATTATGTATTCTCATTTCCGTAGTGTGGAGTTTCATCTACTTTCTGTTCCTATTTTCTTCTCTTCTTGTTCCTACTTTCTCTCCTGAGTGTTGTGTGTGAGGAGATTTCTCTCCTACTTGATCCTCGTTGGCAAAGTGAGGATCTTACGATATTTCATATACACTCTCGGTGAAAGTCTATGGAGCGGATTTACAACAATCTTTGACTGTAGGAACTTTTGGTGCGAATCAATTCGAAATTATACAGTGAATGTACATGTCTATAGTTTTCATAGACGACTCTTCCGTTCTGTGCTCTGACTATTCCGATTGCAGACTTCGGCAACTTCTTGACGGAAGAGATCCCCCACAAGTGACTGATGTCAGCGAGCAAGTTTCAATTCTAAAAGCCTTCAACAATGTACGAATCATAATAACAGGTAGAAATCATTTATTTTCACCAGAAATTTATGACTGAGACTTAAACCCGGCAATAAACTCATGAGAGAGGTTCGAACACATACAGATAAACATATTTAGCAGCTACTCGTAAAATCAAGATCATATTTAAAATTAAGCTATGGAATATCTCTATCATTGTGAATGTAACATCTTTCTACTCTCCCTTCATTTTATTCTTTATTGAGATGTAATAGACCATGACATTAAGCTATGGCATGCATCTTACACTTGGGCACAATTAGCATGAGAGCTTGGATTTTACTCCATTGTCTTGCCGACCTTTCATAATCATTATGAAATAATTTATAGATGTGAACATTAAAGTTTTTATTTGGTTAAGTGAATTAGGCAAGAAAAGCAACCTACCAAATACTGAACTACCTTTGTAACACCTTCAAGGTACAACTGTTATAATGAACTGTTCTCGAGGGTACAAGTGAAGCTTAATAATTTGATAAAAATAGTAAAATTATTTACTCTTTTAATCCACTCATTAGGTCTATTGGATGTAGGACGTAGGGCCTTTCAATTATTCCTATGATTGGGTCATTATCAAAAGCTAAATTTTATTTTACCCATTATAAGAACCTCGCCTTCACGTTGGCTATTTCTAGCCTTCTTCCCAAACATGTGAATCATTTATAACTCACATATCTGCTTTTGTTGTTTTTTGATTAAAAAAAAATCAACTAAAAATACGGTCTGATGATATAAAATGCATACTGTTGTAAGATATGATTTAACAGAGCACAAATAAAAGAAAAACTGATGACTATTGAAGTTTGATTCACCAAGTTCATAACTTCGATTTACATTTCTCTTTTATTTCTTTCTGAGTAGAATGTAGGATGTGTGAAGGGTGAAAAGATAACCTAGCTTGATCTCATGTGGCATTTGGTTTTGACTGGGGAGCCAAACGTCATTGGAAAGCTTAAGATGTCATTATAAATACTCTCAGAATCCTAGTACGAGAGCAGAGAAGAATTTTGAGAAAACTACCTGTTTGTTCCGTGAAGGAGAGGCTGTGAAGGCCGTGCATCACCCCTCCATGGAAGGGCGACCGTGAAGGTTGTGCATACCCGCTCGTTGTAGGAGAGGCCATGAGGACCACCATCTATCCCGCCCCATCCTACCTTCGCCTCCCGCACTTTCCTCTATCATCGCCGCCGCCGCCGCCGTCATACTTCTTTTCCTCCGCCGCACCATCACCGTCCATTCGCACCACCTCCGCATTCCGCCAACACCATCCGACACCGTCGCCACCGTCCCAGCCTTTATTTCCCGCCGCCTCCGCCTTCTATCGTCACCATCTCTGCCTTTTATCGCCGCCTCGCCGTTGCCACCACCACCGCCACCGTCTTCCCAACCTCTGCCGCAACCACCGCCGCTCCCTTCACTGTATTCCCGAACGGCCTCTTCATCTGGTGAGATTAGGGAATTAACCCGGCCGATTCGAGACGCTATGAATCGCTGATCCGAATCAGTCCGGTTTAATCCGATCCGGCCAACCAGCTGCCAGGCCAAACCGGTTCTACCTGCTGGTCCGAGCGAGTCGTCAACACAGCCCGAACCATATCGAACGGTCGATTCACGGTTCACGACAGTCCTTGACGCCGGCCGGAAGCCTTCCGGACTACCTGGTCCGTGCCTGTCCGCTTCGCCGGGTTCGAAACAGTCTGACCATTGTCAGTTCAACATTGTCAACGGTCAACGAGAAGTCAACTATCGGCAAAAGCAACACCAAGCTTCTTCCTATGATGCTTTATCAAGCTGTTGTCCGCTCTGGCGACAGGGTTATCTCTAAACTCTCTATCTTTCCATATATGAGTTATTTGTTCAGTTAGTATATTTTCTTGCAACATTATTGTGGAGTGATCATATCTGGTAGAGAGTGAGAGAGGGCTCACTTGATTCACACTTACCAATTTATCGACAATGGAGAACCCTGATCTCTGGCAACTCTTTAATTGCGTCAATACAATTCCTTTCAATTCTTGCGGGAACAGTAAATTTTCTGGTATAGGGTAATCTAGACTATAGTTTAGATTTCATAAAATCTGATCTGAGAGTCAAGCATAGTTTGCTGATCTAGGGTAATCTAGTCTGTCATCATCTTGTCCGGCATCAATGACATCTCCCCGTCGTTGACCTACTACAAAAATTCAAAGCTTATAAATGACAACATTAAAAGCAAGCCTCAACTGGGAGTGTGATGATGTTGACGGCTCTTAAGGAAGAAACTTTATTCGGGCCTTGGGTGTACCAACCAGCCGGTGAGCTCTCGGCAAGCTTGCCCCATGCCCCTCCGTCATTTCCGCCATCCCACCCACGATACTCAACTCGAAGCACTGCATCACGTTCGCAAGGGTAGTGTGAATCAGCTGCAGTGCCAAGGACATACCCGGACACATCCTCCTGCCGGTCCCAAAGGGCAAGAGATGGAAGTGCTGCCCCTTCACGTCAACGCCGAAACTCCGCCCACTGACCATGAACATCTCCGGCTGAAACTCCAGCAGGTTGTCCCTGTGGGTCGGGTCTCTCCCAACTACCCAAATGTTGATCGCGACTCTGGAGTCGGCGGGAATAGAGTAGCCCCTGATCTTGCATGGGGCGTTCGAATGACGCGAGATGATGGGAAAGGCGGAGTGGAGCCTGAGTGTCTCTTTTACGATCGTATGTAGGAGGGGCAGGTTTGGTACGTCCGACTCCTCCACCAACCTCGATAACCCAACAACCGATTCGATCTCTCGCCTTGCGTCTCGCAGAATGCTGGAATGGTTTATCAGCTCCGCCAAGGCCCATTCCAATGTGACGGACGCCGTGTCTGTTGCGCCTAAGAAGAGAAAAGAAACGAAAGTGAAGGAAAATCGACTGCGAAACCGGGTTACACGGAGGACCGTGAAATCCCGACAGAAAGCTGGAGAGGATGTTCAGTGTTTAGCTCTTGTAGTTACGTGAATCAAGCTCTTAATGTGCTGTCTCGTCATCTGCTTCTCCGTACTTCCCTGCTCGGATATGGGGATGTCGAGTAGCACCTGAAGGAGACTACGGGCAGCACCAGCAACAGCAGTCTTAACGGAATTCTCTTTCCTTGCAGCCTCTTCCCCCACGAGGATCCGCTCCATCAGATTGTCGAAGCTGCAGTGCACTTCGTCGGCCCTCCTTCTGAGCTGCTGAAGATCGTGTTCCCACAGAATCCGACAAAGTCCGCCATGTTCGGTGTGCCCATGACAGCCATCGCTTCCTCCACTATCTTCATCATTTGGTCCGCCTCTCCGTCCGTTTCGCAACTCCTTCCCATGGTCATCTGGCAGATCACGTTGTTGCTGAGCCTCTTAAGAGCCGCCCCGTCGTCCACTTCTTGTCTCCTCTCAGCTTTTTCGTACAACAGTCCCAAGAACCTTCGTGCCTCCTCTTTCCTGACCTACTGGATCTCCAATCTCCCAGCTCCCAGCGCCTCCGTCACTCACAGCTTCTTCATGAACCTCCAGTAATCACCGTAGGGTGCGAAGACGAAGCTACGACCCAGTGCGGGTTATAGTTTCCGCGGTTTTTCGGTCGACAAAGCACTTTTCGTGCTCCCTGAGAATATCTCTGGCGGCGGCTGCGTCGGAAGCCACGATAAAGGGGACGGAACCAAGCATAACGTGGAACAACGGACGGAGGATCGCTGAGAGCTTGTGAAAAGACTGATGGACTCTGTAGCCGATTAGGTGGAAGTGCCCAATAACCGGCAATGCCATGGGGCTGGGGGGGAGGCTGGGCTTGGGTTGGAAGTACGAAAAGAGCTTCATGATGAAGAAAAGAGAGACGAAGCCCAAGAGGACGACGGTAGCCCAGGAGAACAGGCCCTTCATGTCTGAGAGAGATGAGGGATCTTGGGTGACACCTGATGTTAGCACGTAGGCCTTAGGCTTTCGTCGAGCATCGATTTATAGAGGTTTGCATGCACGATGGGAAATCGTTCGGTTAGATATCATTTTAGTGTTCAAGTCACCGGCCCGATTTCTTCGGCAGCGTTGCGATTGTGAAGTTTGCCGAAAGTCGTACTGAGGCTTACGGTTGAGATGAGGACAACCCCTTCATTTTTCTCACGCCCTTTTCTTCCTTCTTTGTTAACTATCTCTGAAAGAACTCTCAGTTGCAACTGCACACTCCAGAGCTGCGGGTTCCGCCGTCTTCAGCGCGTAGCAATGAGTCAAGTTGTTCCGTGAATTTTAGTTAGAGTCGTCATTTATTACCACAGGAACCTTCTTTGTCAAACGCATCAGTACCGCCCACGAATTCGATTTCGGGCTGCCGTATCCTGCCAAGGGATTTTCTTTGTGCTTTAAATGCTGTCGGCCCATGTTAGTTTATTATATCCTACCACGCCATGGGAATGCACGGGAGGTACGCGAAGAGTTTCAAGATGAAGATGAGCGAGAAGAAGCCCACGAGGACGATGCTAGCCCAGGATGACAGTTCCTCCATTACTCGGAAAGATGGTGAGGCTCGGACGATGTTAGCATGTGGGCCTCAGATTCATTGCATCAAGGCCTGATTTATGAGTTACTAAATGATGTAAAGAACGGCCCACTTATAAGCGTTACTTTGTCAACCCATAGGGAGAAGTTTTGCCCCAACTTCCCCCTTTCCCTTTATTTCACTTTTTTTTTTTTTTTTTTCTTTTTTTAAATTAAATGCATCAGTTTATTTCACTTAGGAGACTGGATACAGGTTCTAAATTAGTCTCGCCCTCTTCTTGTCAAAGTGGTATCAAAAGGGAGCTCGGGAAGAGAGAAGTCAGACACAAGGCATTACTCCCTAATGACAAAAAATAGGATATCAGCAACTCTCCCATTTGGTGGCTTTGCTTGCGTGTTATTCTCCCCCATTTATTGACACACTTTATTCCTCTTCATAAGTACTGAATCCTTTCTTTCCGGTTTAGTGGTCAGAAGGTGTATTAACCTCTCTGTACCGCATTTAATTTATGGTGCATGTTTCTCTTTTTCTCTTTATTTTTAATATATTTATTATTTATATAGTTTTATATTTGTGCTCCTTCCACGGTAATACTATGCCATCATATTCATATTTTGGCCCCCATTTTCGTAAAATATCAATATCGGTGTATCGTTGGTTTGTAACTTTCGTATTTTGAAGAATTTGGCAGAATATGATATCGAAAAAAAATGACAAAAACATCAACTCCAGAATATGATAGGTTGAGATGAAAACTTTCTTGACCCACTCCCAAAGGCTGCCGAAGTTACTTATTACCAAGCTCCTTTTGAAGCAGTGCATGTTTTTTTTTTAAAGATGACTATTATTTGTTCTTTATCTGTTTCAAATACACACTTATAGAAAACCTACTTCATACTAGTAGAGATTCTATCTATATTGAAGATTTGAAACCTTGTTTTTCTTTTAAGTTTTTATAGACTTGTGATTGTCTAGAAGGATGGCAATTTGAGAGCTTTGTTGCTAGAGGTCTATCTAAGAAAATAAATTAATCTAGAAAAATAAAGGAAACTTTGGATATAAATCAAAAAACAAAAGTAAAATTTTAAAATATTGTTGCCTGAAGAAATAGTTGAAGATTTTTTAGTAAAATCTGAAAAGAAAGCATCAATTGAAGATTCAAAAAAGTTTAGCACATATTGTTATCAAAGGAGAGAGTGATAATTTTATTCTCTCCATCTAGTCTATTAGATGTAAAGATGATTGGATCTTAGATTCATGCTGCTCATATCATATCACTATTAATAGAGAGCTCCTTAAACACATAAAACAAAATCAATTATGAAGTTGTCTTAATGTGGAATCATGTCTCATAAAAAATAGTTAAAATTAGTTCAATCTGCATTAAAATATATGAAAGTATTATAACAACATTGTTTGATGTTTGACACCTTCCTCATTTAAAGAAAAATCTTATCTCTTTGAACACTTTTAATGCTAATGACTCCAAGTATTTAATTTAAGGTGATATTATGAAATCATTGAAAGCAACTCTTGTTATGATGAAGGAAAAAAAGGTGTGGTGGTGTACATAACTTATTAGGTGCCATGGCCACAAGAGTATTTACTTCCAAAGAATAACAATGAGTTGGGTCTTTGAGGAGACGAACGTGAGTTATTTGGGTGGCTGATTTTGTAAATATCAATGTCTTCTTCATGAGAATAACTTACCAGAGAAAGTTTCCTCTAGGATTGGAAGTAAATATATGTGGGACCAATAAATTAAAAATGTTTGGTGTTCTTGATGAGTGAGTGCTAGAAGGTTTTCTTGCATTGTTGTTGTTAACACATAAAGATAGGTTTTGGTTATCTCAAAAAGATAGATAAGAACCTTAAAAACCTAATTTACCCTCCCTCTTGATGTTTCACCTAGCCTAATAGTTTTAACATCATTCTCTAAATCCACTAAGACCTTTGAGGTTCTTCTCATATTTTATCAAAAAGGCATGTACCATATTTTTTATCTTTTGGAGTCAAAACATATAGGCTATAGTATTCTAATTCAAAATTTTCTAACTTTTTTAAAAATAAATATTACTTTTGATGGAGCTAAAATTTATATCTAAAATAAGAGATATTATTTCACAAAATGTACATTTTCCTAACAATGCCAACTTGAATTTGTACATTCACACAATGTCTTCCCTAGAATAATTAATCTAGGTACCTACATGGGGAGTTTGAATTGATTAGATCTTAATGTTGACTTTTGGTCAAGCTACTGAACCCTAGTGGTTCTATCATTCTAATTCAATTTTTTTGAGATTCCCTAGGTCTAAATATCTAAACTCATAGAATTTTATAATTTTCCAGCCCCTCTCTATGTCCATCTCTAACACTACCTGATTTTTGGGTTTCAATAAACTAATAGTAGAGAACTAATGATCACTAAGTTGAGCTCTTATAAAATTTTAGATTATAGTTTTCTCTAAATTCATAATTCCTCATGCCCACTACTGATTACATAGATCAGCTCAACTCAATAATTAAGCCAATATTTCATGTCAAGGTTTCTTGTATAAAATGTTGAAGAATTTTGCTTTGTGATTTTTCTAACTACCAAATTTACTTGAGTTGCATTCAGAAATTTTATAAAGAGAAATTTGAATTGGATTTGATTTTATTTTTTCTCTTAAGGGATGAAAACTATATGATTTTGGAAGAGATTGATGCTTTAATTAGGTCAAACATGATTGTATTTCAATCAAATCATGCTTCTCAATTCTTCACCTATCATTTGCCCAAGCTTTAAAGATTGATTGTATTGTTTGTAATTGTTCTTAGCAATTAAAAAATTTAACTCATATTCTCTATAATTAAGTCTAAGATGAATTTCATAGAATCCATGACTTCATAGGATCTTTGACTGACATTGTGTCTAATTGAAGACACTAAACCTCATACTTGTTGGAAGTCAAATAAATGTCTTTAAAATTTTTCAAATGTGTTCATGAATAGTATTACATTTAAGAGAAAACCAATGAGCTACTTCAATTTAGAAGATACTAAGGTGATGACATGTATTAGTCATTATATAGTAAATCATGTAAATTTAAAATTTATAAAACTAGAAAATATCAATTTTTGGATATTTATAAGTATTTTTGAACAAAGATATCAATTATAATTCAATAAAAATATTAAAAATAGTGATAATTTTCCAAGTCAATCATAGAGATGTAATATAATATTGGGTAATTATTCAGAATTTTTGCTCAAAGAATACAATTTTTAATAAATTTTATACTAGAAAATAAAAATGAAATATATTTAAAATTCACAAAAAAGGGAAATAAAGGCATTAATGTTAGAATGACATCAGCACTCGACGAACACAAATTAAGTAGAAATAGAGTTCCACTTAATGATTCTTATGTAAGTGATTATAGATGATTTAATTGATCAAATTAAGATCTGTAAAAGCCAAAAGAATTG